TTTTTTTTTTTTTTTATATGAGAGTTGCAGTCGGTTTTTTTCTTGCTAAAAATTACTTGTTTCATATAAGTAGGTATTTAGTCTTAAAAATAGAGTGTAACTTATAAATATTATTCATTAAGTATTTTTGGGCATAAACCAGCATTTACATTTCTCTATCGATTTCTTTTGATAAAAAAAATATTATAAAATAAAGTATGCAATGTGTGCCCTAGTGCGTCGCGCTGAGAAGCACTTTTCTATAATTGCACTGAGTGGAGCGTTTTTTCATTTGTTTATGGTTAATGGTCGTATTACCACACAACAAGCATTGGGCTTTATTAGCTTTTTTTAAAACCAAAAACTGTAATTGGCACTCATACTCAGACATTTTGGGCATTGTTACATATATAGGTGGCAACCACGCGCTAAAATTACGAATAAAAATATTCAACGGCGAAGCATAGTGTTACTCTCATGAAATCTGAAAGCAGACTGAATTGAAATTCGCTGCGTCGTTTCTGTATACGTATAAGCGCTGCGACGCAGACGCTACTCGCGAGTAGCGTTTTGCCCAGCTATGCTCTAGAAGAAAGTCGCAATAGTAGAAAATAATAGTTTTGCTTCTGCTTGTCTACTACTGATATAATTTGGTAAAGTGCTACCTAGGACCAAAAGTAAGCAACAGCTTTCATTTTTTATAAGAGAATTGGCGGTCAACTTCATATAACGAACCAATATTCAATTTATACAAAACGATATTTTCATTTCCCAATACCAGGCGCTCATAAAGCAAGCTTTCTATATGCATACATTTTTATACCCGAGCGCACTTGTGCACAAGGCTATATAAATTTTGTTCACATAACGGTTGTTTGTAACAGCCAAAACGAATCGAGATAGATATAGACAAATGTATACATAAATGCTCAGAATGAATAGAGAAATCGATTAAGCCATGTCTGTCTGTCCGTCCGTCTGTTCGTCTGTCCGTCCGTCCGTGTACACGATAACTCGAGCAAAAATTGAGATATCTCAACGAAATTTGGTATGTAGGTTTCTGTTAACCCAAGGTAGGTTGGTATTGAAAATGGGCGAAATCGGACAGTAACCACGCCTACTTCCCATATAACGGTAATTTTGAGAAATACGAAAACTGCGATATTTTAGTAACTACTGAAGATTATTCACTCAAAATTGATATTTATAATACATTTTAGACGAAAAATAAGAATATTATAAATTTTTGGAAAATGGGCGTAGCCACGCCCACTTATGGTTACATGTGCATATCTTGAAAACCGCTGCACCAATTTCTTCCAAACTTGGCACAGTTGTTGGCCTTGATACAGCATACTAAATGGCCGAAAATTTTAAAAATCGGACAATAACCACGCCCATATCCCATATAACGGTAATTTAGACAAATACAAAATCTTCGATAAATCAGTAAATATTAAAGCTAATTTATTCAAAATTGATGATTGCAAACAATTCTTTACCAAGAAATACGTATATGGTAAATTTTTGGAAAATGGGCGTGGCACCGCCCACTTATGATCACATATATGTATATCGGTAACCGTTCTACCAATTTGTACCAAACTCGGTATTTTTATTGTGCTTGCCACATATAAGCAAAATGTTGAAAATTATTGATATCGGACTAAAATTACGGCCGCTTTTCATATAACGGTAAATTTCAGAAATGCTTGAAACTGCAATATTTCGAAATTTAAGGACGCTAATTTACTAAAAATTGATACACCCCGGCTTACCATCTAGCGGTAGCTTTCGGAAAGGTGAAAAAAACATTTATTTAATACTTGCGCCGGGTATTTAATGTTCGGCTCCACCCGAACTTAGACTTTCTTACTTGTTTTGTATAGCTTTTTAGTTAGTAGTAGAAGCATTTTTTTATTCGATTCGATTTTGTATAAGGTGGTAGCGATAGTACAAAAACAACTAATATGTATTTTGTTTTCGCTTTCGGTACGCAAATGTCAATTTCAGCTATTCTTCGCTCAAGGAGGAAGAGGGAAAAAAATTCCAACACTCTTATTTTCGCACACACTCATAAGGAATTTTGACATATGTGTACCAAGGCAAATCAAAGCAGCAACACCACCTTATATGAATTTACCTTGCTATAAACTTTACAAAGTAGAATTTTTGGAATTTAAAAATATATACATATGTACAA